AAGAGTCATGATTGTCACATATTCATGCAAAGTCTCCTTCCAATTGCATTCCGTGATTTTCTCCCAAAGCAAGTTTAGGAAGCCCTTACTGAGATCAGTGAGTTTTTCAGAGCTTTATATTCTCCAGTCATTTGTGTTATAGATATGGAGAATTGGCATGTGAAGATTGTAGAAACAATATGCCAATTGAAAAGAATCTTCCCTCCTTTTTTTGATTCAATGGAGCATCTAGCAATCCACCTTCCATATGAAGCCAAGGTAGGGGGACCAGTGCAATTCCGTTGGATGTATCCATTTGAGGTATTATTAAAATACTTATTTTTTTAAAATATTTTAGATCTATACTATAAAATATAATTTCTTTTTAATTTATCAATTATTGAAATCTATTTTTCACGAAATAGACGAATGCATGGATTGAAGAGTTCGGTGAAAAATAAAGCCTGTCCAAAAGGATCAATATGCGAAAATTATATAATGAGTGAGATCTCATACTTTATCTCACTTTATTTGGAAGAAGAAGTTGAGACAAGGGGTTATCGCAAACCCAAGAATCTTGTTGGCTTAGGCCCTTCTGTTAATATTGGCCTTTCAATATTCAATAATCTTGGAAAACCAATTGGTTCTCTACAACAACAATGAGTGTTGACAATGGAAGAGTGTAATGCTACAATGTATTATATTCTAATGAATTATATTCTAATGAATTATGAAGACCTGAAGGGATGGATTAGGTGAGTGCATTTATGTAATCCTTATCCTTAAGAACATTTAAGAAATTAAATGATCTGTTTTAATTTGCACATAATTATAATGGATGCTTGATTAGGGTTTTTGAAGAGGAAGAATGTCAACATATGACTTCCCAACAAATATAAATGAGACACTCCAATTATCTTGTGTCATGATTTGAAAAATCGGTAAATTTAATCCTAAATGTTAATTATTGTTAATTAATTATTATAGACTTATAACTAATAAAATAATTCATGTGATAAAAGTTTTAAGTGATGAGTTGGAGGGCATTGATGAGTAGTTGATCGGTTTGGCTCGTGGCCCATCTTGGATGATTTTATGCTATAAAGGCTTTTGGATAAACAGTTTTTGATTTCACATAGCCTTATATGGAAAAAAAAGAAAACAATGAATAGGGGTATGTGTGTCATGGGAACCATTGGAACAGAATTAGATTTGGATTTTTATGGGTTATTACAAGAAGTGATTAAGCTTCAATATGTTGACTCTAGACATCGACAGACAGTTGTTCTATTTAAATGTGATTGGTATGAAATTCCTCCTGCATGAAGAATTATGGTTGACCGAAAACATCGTCTTGTTGATATTAATCCAAATAGAAAACTAAGAACTTATGAGCCTTTCATCTTGACTAGTCAAACTAAACAGACGTATTACATTTCATATCCGTCACATAATGCTGTTAGGAAGGGATAGGTTGTTGCATTGAAATGTAGGGCAAGAAGTATTATTTAGATGTCAAATGAGCAAGAGGACCAATATGATGATCCAGAACCCATTTTTCAAAATGATGACCCTCCAGCTCCCTAACTGATTGAGTTGGATTTGATATTGTATAAACCTATTTAGCATACTGATAGGACTATATCTACCATTAATGTAGAATTTGAGGATGTGGATGATGACAAAGAATTTGAGGAAGAGATAAGGCAGAGGAAGAATATGAAGCTTATTCTATATCTGAGGAAGAAAATATTGAATACATTTCCAAGAGTAATAGTAGTGATTAGTTAATTAGCAACATATATATACTTTTTTATTATTTAGTGGTGTATGTATGTGGTCTTTTATAACAAAGTGGGTGATATGTAAGTGGCTTGATATTAAAGAGAACTAATTTGGTGATTATTAATATGTTTAGATATTTTCTTTAAATTTCATGTTTGATTTTTTTTTAAAAGTTTAAATCTATTGCATTTTTTTCAATCATATACTAATGTAGTATTATTTCTTATTTTTTTATGTAGTGAATTGCATACCTGGAGCTTGTAGAGGTGATAAGGCTATTGATGTTGCCACCCAAAGGTCTATAAGAAAAAATCGATCACAAGCAACTAGGTCTTTAAGTACTATTGTCAGAAAGACCCCAAGGGAGACATGTGGCAATGACACTGGTTCTAGTGCACCCTCGCCTCCTCAATCCAAAAGGGGTTGAGGTATTGCACAAGGGCAAAAATAGCCAGAAAATCTTTCCTAGAGGCTGAGCATTGGGAACTGAGATGGGAAAACATTACCTAAACAAGTCCAAAAGGATATTTCAATCATCGTTAAGTGCAATATGCATGATGCATATACAGGTGGCAAAAACCTACTTTGGGCCTCTTACCTTACCAAGTTTGAAGGTTTTAGCTCCTTACCTTATATTATGACACTTTTAGCCTCTTACCTGACTAAATTTGTAGGTTTTAGCTCCTCACTTATTAAAATTGAAGAAAATAACCCTCACTTTATATTGACTGTTAATTCTGTTAGCTCAAAGTAGATTTTTGTTAACTAACAATCAACTAATAGCCAATTAACAGAATTAATGAAATATTATAAAGTTAGTTCTGCTAAGTTTGTTAGCTGAAAGAAAGTTTTTGTCAACTAACAATCATTTAATAGAATTAACAATTAACAAACAGAACTAACAGAATGTTACAAAGTGAAGATTATTTTTTTCAATTTTAATAGGTGAGGGCTAAAAGTGTTATAGTATAAGGTGAGGGGTTAAAACCTACATATTTAATAAAATAAGGGGTTAAAAGTGTCATAGTATAAGATGAGGGGCTAAAACCTTCAAACTTGGTAAGGTGAAGGGCTCAAAGTAGGCTTTTGCCTATATAGGTTGGGACTCAATATCTCATGAGCACAAGGAAGTGTATTGATAAGCTTTTCAGGTTTGTAGTTTTATTAAATAATTTTCAATATATTTTTATTTATATATGTGAATTTTCTTTTATGAGTCAATTAATGCATGAATATATGATACTTATATATATGTATATATATATATATATATATTCACAATAGATATGCATGGGACCCTGCTCATGAAAGTGCTGTTCATACGACATTTCTACATGTTTGTGAAAACGAAAAACTAGATGATGATTGATATCCAAGCTTCATGTAGAAAGAAGAATTTTACTAAAGAAAAACCCAAACATGTCTGATGAGGTTTGGGAGAAGTTAAAGTACATATGGACGGAGGACCCATAGTTCAATGCGCGTCGAGAGCAAGGCTAAATTGAGCCAAGGGCCCTAGGGTAACCTACACAGGTAGATCTATGGATTACAATGACTTTGTACAAAAATTGGTAAAAATTTTACTTTTATGTTTTAAATTTCATATCGTAATTTATATAATAATCTTATTGTTAATTGTCATGCTTGTGTGAATTAACACAATAATTAAATATGTGATTTGTAGAAGGAAAAAAATCTTGAACATAGAGATCCATCATTTGTCGATGTGATTTGTGCAAAAAAAAATGTACCATCCAAAGGAAAAAAAATAAAATGTCAACATATATTGATGATCAGGCTCAGAAATATACTATAAGCATTCTTTCTAACCATTATTATTTTTTGAGAGGTTCATTTAAGTTATACTTAGTTAATGAGTTATGGCATGGTTTTACATTTGGGAATTGATGTACCCTGTACAATTTATTTAAATGGGCAATGGTACCCCTTATACTCCAATTATAATAAAATTTTATTTTACTAATGAAAAAAATTACATTTCTTTGCATTGCCTTTTTATATCTCTCTAATTCTTTCTTCGTCGTTTACTTGTTTCTATCTTATTTTACAATACGTCATCGGTATAAGTTGTCTTTATATGATTTGTTTCTAAGATCCCATTTGAGGTAAACTTATGAGGTAAGATTTTAAGACAATTTTATTTTTCAATTTCTAATTTCAAATTTGAATATTTTATGGTTTTATAAAAATTCTTTTGTTTATATTTTATTTTACACTTGTCAAAATATTTGAGTTCATTACCCTTAATAAATTATGTTCCAACTACTTAATGAACTCTTATTGTGGTAATTCATTTAGCTACATTGAATCCTAAAAATTCAAAAGTAAAGGAATAAAGCATCCCTTAAAAGAGCAATGCTAGGGGCACTCGCCTCCTGCACTCTCCAGCCAACACTTTCTCTTTTATTGGGCCATGTTATTTTGGTTCCTAAGAGGTTCGCCTGAAAGCTTAAAAGAAGCTTACGTGGCCCAATGAAAGGGGAAGTGTTGGCCGGAGAGTGCAAAAAGCGAGTGCCCCTAGCACTGCTCTCCCTTAAAAAAATAAAACATTCTTGAAGAGAAAAGATATCCTTAAAGATTACAATAAAGTGATATTTCTTCAATACAAAATTTATAAAGGATTAAGATATGAATATTTGATGATAAATAATCCATCAAAATTATGGAATAGTTCGGAAGAAAGATGATCATCAAGAGTTCAGCTTCATAGAAGACCATGTTCTGGCAATGCTTGTTAGAAAACCTTTTCAAGTCTAAAAGCACAAGCTACACCAAAAACCCCTAAAGTAGCTTCAGCTTCCTTGAAGTTAATTCAGCTCTCGTTTCCTAGTTTCTTACATTACTGTTTTACTTTTGTCATCTTTACTTCTCCCTGCTTTCTCCCTGCTTGCTTCAACATGCTTCACGTTTCCGCTACACTTAATCGGTTCCTTTCGTCTAACATCTCTTTTTAAATAGCATTAGTTGCCTTAATTAGTTTCTTTAAATGTTATTTTTTAACTTACATTTTCTTTAAGAATAAGGATTGCCTTGCTTGATTTCTGCTAGCATGCTTTCCTTGATGATAGTTATACTTCAATACCAATTGACAACTATTTCACACGGAAGAAGCTAAAGCCTAGAGAGTCATCAAAAAAATCCTTTTATTGCTTTCTAGCAAAAGCAATTGGCACGCCTGAAATGTATCTTTCAGTGGAGAATTTTTGAGGAAGCAATAACAATTGATATATTTATAAGATTTTTTAAATAATAATAAATGCTTTGCTAATAGCTACAAGAATACATATGCTAAGAAATTGCTCCTTTCATGAAACCAAGATCATACTACCTACAGAAAAAACAGACCTAAAAGAATAATAAACCAGCCTTATAACTAGAAGCAAGTTTTATCCAAAAATTCCTATATAAGATGTATAATCTTAATTAGTAAATAAGATAGCACACACAACAATAAGCTAATTATTTTGCTTTATGAGAAGGAAACAATAAGCTATTTAAGTTGCTCTGAAGGACTGACGAAGACACAAGCGTCGGTGGAATGAGTAGCAACATTGACGGTCTGAATGGCCTGACGCTGATAAACACTGCTGGACTTGGAAGCGTCAAAGTCAATGAACTGAGGAGCGTGAATACCACCATAGCCAGTAGGGGTGTTCATATCCGATTCAATTCGATTGATCCGACCTAAACTGATCTAATCTAATTAAAAATCGATCCAAACCAATATAAAATTAAGTTGGTTTAAGTTATTATTAAAGTTTAAAACCGATATAATTGGTTTGATTTGTAGTTTTATCTTCAAACCACCTGAACTGCTTGATTACAAAATAAAATCTGATTATAAGATAACTTAATTAAACAATATAATATAATTTTTTGTAGTATTTAAAATTTTTTTCATTTTATAAGATAATAA